CATGGTTCCCGGAATGAGGCCCCATCTCAAGTGACTGCCAGGACAAGCCCATCCAGACCTCTTCATGTGCTGGGCTCCTCTGCCTACACATCTGTCTGGGCACCTTCCCAATTTCAGGACTCCGCCATGGCCCCTCACCCCACAGCCCCCAGCAGGGCCTGAAAGCCAGCTTCCAGCCAGGCCTCAGGATACGGCTAGGGAGTGGATGAACCCCAGCCAGAGTGGCTTTTCCAGGGGCCTGGGTACCTTCCGTGTCAGGCAGGAGTGGCTTCAAAGGGCAACGACCAGATGGCACATGGCTCTCACAGATAGATAGGCCCCCAGTGCCCAGGCAAGCAAGAGCTCTGGATCTCCACGATACACATATGCTGGGGCCCTCTCCTGGCACGGGCCAGGCCAGGGGTGTGGGCTGAGTCCCCAGAGAGCTCGGAGCCATGTTCGAGACCTGGCTGTCACCACTGTGCTGCCACTGCAGTCTGCAGGCACAGGTGGAGCCAGGCCCAGTGGTCACTCGGCCACAGGCTTTGCGAGCTCCTAATGGGAAATGACCTGGGGAGGTATCTGGGAGGAAGGAACTGTCAGGAGGGAGGCACACGTGTCCAAGCGGGCGGGAGGAGGTAAGGCTAGACCTGCACTAGATGCTGGACGACACCTAGCAGCCCAAGGTGGGGTCAGTGTGGAGCCATCAGCTGTTAAGGTCTGGATGCAGTTTATCCCCCAGGGGTTCCTTGCTGGAGGCTTGGTGCCCAGTGTGGCAATGTGGGAAGTAGCTGGACCTTTATAAAGGTGGAGCCTAGTGGGAGGTCACTGGCACACTGCCCTCAGGTGGGACTGAGGTGGTCCTTGGGGGACCCTGCATTAGTTTTCTCAAGAGGGAAAGCCTGACCTGATCCCTGAATCTCTCTTCTGCCACGATCCCATCTGCTATTAGGCTCTCAACAGAGGCCAAGCAATGGCCTGACCTGACTTTGGACTTTTGGCCTGTAAAACTGAACTTAAGACTCTTTTTCATAGTTATCCAGACAAATATTCCATCAGACTAACCTACGGCCCTTTCTCCAGGCCCAGTGATGAGCACCATCCGGAAGTAAAAGCTGATGGTTACGTGGACAACCTTGCTGAGGCCGTGGACCTGCTGCTGCAGCAGGTGGACAAGTGACAGGCCTTCAGGGAGGCCCAGCCTCCTTCCACCACTGCCCTGACCCCCCACGCCTGGCATGGGCAGGTGAGGGCAGTTCTGGGCTGCCTTCACCCTGGGCCAGAACCAGCCAGGCCCCTTCCCAGCCCTGGTGGGCAGAGGTTGGTCCCCCCAGTGAGATCCAGGAGATGGGTCAGATCAGCAGGCCTCCAGAGAAATGAAAACTCTCTGGGCGTGCTGGGAGCGCCTCTGGGAGTCACCCGAGTCCTCACCTGCACCTGGCCCTTGCAGAGGTGAGTTGCCCACTGCCTCTTCATCACACTCTGTGAGTCTGGCTGAAGAGCCTGGAGAAGACCCAGGGCCACCTGTACACACATTGCGCAGCCCAGCGCTAAGCCAGCCTTCCCTACTCAGTGACGCCACTCGATGTGAGTGGCTGATGAGCACTCTCCCTGCCCAGAAATAATGCCAGCTCCTGGCTTTTTCTATCCCCACAAGTCAGCATGGCAGACAAAGGCTGGGGCAGCACCTAGGGGCACTTCAACGATACCCTGCTTCAGAGTGAGAATCTCAACCTCTGTACTCAAGGTTGCAGGCACAGAAAGTACTCTGGATCCAGAACTGGGTAGACTTGACTGTATCATGCTCAGTGTGTCCAGGAGAAGCTAATGGCTCAATAAACTTGGCCTTGAACAGCAGCATTTGACCTGGCTTTGACTGCCAGAAAGGGCCTTGTGAGGTTTGGGAGAGGGGACCTGGGCAGGGTCTCAAACACTGTCCCTGTTCCTGCCATGTGCTAGAGCTGCTGAATGTCACAGGGGCAAGGGTATGAAACAACTTACCTGACCTCTTTAACAGGTGAGGAAACTGAGGCCCAAAGCGGACAGTGAGCCGCCCTCAGCCTCACCTGGGAGAAAGCAGACCAGGTCAAACGTTGGCCCTGCCTTCCCCTATTACTTCATTTTTCATTGCTTCAACAAAATAATTGAGGCAGGCTAACTTCAGAAAGAAAATAGGTTTATTCAGTTCCGTTTTGGAGACACAGGGGCATAGCACCTGCATCAGCTGGGCTCTGGTGTGAACCTCATGGCATCTTGGCACAAGAGCACAAGTAGGAGCAAAAGGTCGCATGGGAAACAAGAAGCCGGAGTCTTACAAAAATCCCTTCCAAGGGCATGTCCCCAACTGACCTGACAAGCTCCTGCTAGGCCCCAGCAGCTCCTGCCACCCTGGGGAGCAGGCCTTCAACACATGAGCCTTTGAGGGAACGCACTTAAACTACATCCAGACCTCAGCACTTCACTAATGAGGACCGGCAGTCAGAAGAGCACCTTCCAGACCAGGGCTGTGGTGCCTCTGCACCCCAATCCACTCCTAACCCATTTCAGGTCGAGTTTTTTTGTTGTTGTTTCTTTGGTTTTTTGGGGGTACCAGGGATCGAATTCGGGTCCTTGCGCTTGCAGGGCAGGCAGTAAATCCCTGGCTACTCCTAACCCATTTCAGCTTTGAAAATTAGTCTGCTGAATGGTTAGCTTAATTGTTGTTTCTCTTCGAATCAGTTCCAAAACCGCTGAGAAATCTTGGGCTGTTGGCTGAAAAACACACAGGGGGCTGCTCCATGATGAAGCCCCCATTGTAGCTTGTTAGGGGGACAGGAGCTCCCCAGCACTGCTGGAGGGCAAATGCAGTGGGACTGGGCTCTGTGTCTTTATGTTTTCCTTTCTCTTTCGTTTTTTAGCAGGCCTCTTGTTAGCTCTCCTTGGCAGGCCTTAGTAGCCAGGGCAGCCTCCTCTATGGAGGAAGGAGGCTGGTCTGTCCGAGCCGAACTGAGACTGCTCTTCAAGGGCTGCCTGTGTGTAGTGCATAGACCCTTGCTTTGTCTTGGCAGAGAACACTCTGCCCTCCAAGCTGCAGCAGGCTTAGTGAAGTGGACACGATCATGTCTCCCAAGGGCCATCAAGCAGTAAGGGACTGAGTGGAGAATCAGATTAAGGTCTGGCCCTGCATTCCTTGCCCTTTTTAGTCCCTTCTGAAAGGACACCCCGCCCCCGCCCCTGGCTGCTGCTGACCCCGTGTTGTGCCCTGTGGCAGATGGTAGGCAGGTGGAAGGATCCTGCATGTATAGCTTAGAGCAGAGGTGGTGACACAGGAAGGATTGACATGCGGCACTGTCTCCAGTGTGCTCAAGGACCCACCTCCGATCCCAGCCTGATTATCAATAGCTCCAGCTTTCCCTCTTAGATGATAAATATATTGGACACTTTGTGGATTTGTTTTGATTTTTTTAGATTATAGAAGCAATGCATGCTATGATAGGAAATTTAACAGAGAAACATAAAAAGCAACCAAAACCCACTCAAGGTCTGGCCACTGTCCTGATTGGCACATTTCCTCTCGGCCTTCTTTACAAGCACTCTGGCCAGTGCTGGTGTGCAGTGTGGCGGGGGCTGGCACTGATTCTGCCATGGAAGCCCACAGGGGTTGCTATGTACAGGCAAGGAGTCTGCTCAGGGGGTGCTCACCACCAGGGACCCACAGCAGGTGCACCTGTGAGCCGGCCTGGATTCGGGGCTGGGGTGGTGGTGAGCCCTGCAAGCTGGGCCTGACAGCACAGCAAAGGGTGGAACTGCTGCCCATGGAGCTCTAGAGCCTATGCAGGGAGCTGTGACCTGGTTTCACCAAATCTCCAGGGCACAGGATACAGCTCTGGGGAGAAGGCACCAGGGCAGGGGGCTGAGCAGCCATCGCTGTACCCGTGTTAAGACCGGAGCCATCTTAGGTGGAGGTAAGGGGCTCATTCACAACTCCTCTGTGCCCTCCCCTAAGGTGGGTAACACACCGGGGCCCACTCTGCTTGACAGAAACCTCTTGGCCTCTGCCCCGCCAGGCATGCACCAGATACCTGAGGCAGGGAGCCGGGGCTGGGAAGGCCTGACATCAGTGAGTTGCTGCGTCCTGGCTGCTGCAGGGCTGCAGGGGGATAGGGCTCACCTCATCCCAGTAGCCTTGCTTCACCTGTTTCCTGAACTAGGTCTTCATGGACCGTTCTGTGTGACACTGGGTCTTGCTGCTGAAAACCACCTGGAAAAAGCACTCCCAGAGGATCCTCAGCCCCTAGCAGATGACTGAGACAATAACTCCAAGGACAGATTTTGGGGACAAATGCTAGGTTAAAGAAATTTAAGGCACCTCTCCACACTTGTCCTTGAGGCTGCTGACACCGTCTTTCCTGAGCTTGGTTCCCTGGGGTACGTGGTTTGAAGGGCCAGGGACGGGAATGGGACAACGTGCCCATGCTGGGCTGAGCCACTTGTGCTAGTGTCCCCACAGCCCTAGCACCTGGGTTGGAGCCACGCCAAGGACTGAGGCCCTAAAGCTGGCAGGCCAGCCTGTGCTACCTCCTGGGCTGTCCTGGTGGTCTCACAGCTCCAGGCCAGGCTGGTGCTTCTAGTGGCAAGACCTGGAGTGCACTGCGCATAGTCCTGCCTCTCAGCAAGGCTGAAGGCTGAGTCCAGGGGCCCACACGGTGCCTCACCCACTGCTCCTGCCTCAGAAGTGATGGCAAGCATCTTTCTACTGGCCTGGCTCCTGAATGGTGCAAAGGGCTGGGCTCTCACACCTCTAAAAGCACACACACCTCACCTCCTGGGCACTGGCCTGCCTGCCTCTAGGAGACTCCCCAAGGCCATAGCCATCCCCACAGCTCCTCCCAGTTTACCCACAGCCATCCTGCAGGGAAGCCTGTCTACTGCTCTGTGCAACAGAACTGAGGTCTGTGTGTCTCCCAACCTAGAGGGCAGAGGACAGGAGGACCTGCCGGTTTACCATAGCCAACAGAAACCACACAGCCATACCCAGGCAGTTGAGTATTGAACCAGGAAGCTTTATTTACACAGTAAAAGTAACAAGCAAATTCCTGAGGCTAGAGCAGCTCTAGTGCAAGACAGTCATGGCCTGTGTGGGACAGCAGGATGTGGAGGGGAACAATGGTAGGACAGTCCCAGTGCCTGTGTGTGCAGACTGCTTTGCCCCAGCAGGGACCTGGCCCAGCACTACCCGGCCACCACGATTCCTGAAGCTCTGCAACATGACACCACGTGGGTGGGAAAAAATGGACCCTAGTATGGCCTACCTGCTATCTGTCCCCAACCCCAACATCACCCCCACACACTGACAACTCAATTCATTTGCCAATGAAACTATGCTAGAAGGTCTGACTATCCTACCTAGGCTACAAGAGCTCCACTTCGGACTGCGACTTGTTAAACCACTTTTCTTGTCTCTTTAAGAAGTATGGTTTTCTCTGGCGCCAGTGGGAGGGGTTTGGTCACCAGTGTGGATGTGGCACAGCACAGCATCACTGCCTATGTGGGCAGAGTGCCTGAGCAGGGCTCCCTGAGCCAGCCCGGCAGAACCCCGGGTGTTCAGCTGACCACCCCCATGGCCACGGGGTACATGTGGGACACAGGACCTAGGGGTGTGCTTTAACTGCAGGGGAAGCTTGCTCAGACAGATGGTGCCCTAAACACCCCTTGGCAGCTTCAGAGCATCGCACTCATCTGCACTAGGAGCCCCACCTGGAAACGGGCTTTCATTTTTATGTGGCCTTTTCCTTCACTTAGATTTTCATTCAGCATACAGATTCAAAAACTTTCCTGATACAAAAGTTTTGTTGAAAAATAAGGCTTTCTGAGAATGAAAATCCCATGTATGATAAGAACATGCTCCCTGGGGCCTGGATGTGAGTCTGCTCAGGCTCTGGGCCAGGCTCTGGCCTCCACAGCCCACAGATAAGGCAAGAAGGTTTGCAGTCAAGTAAACGGTTAAGCTGCAGCCCTGACCCAGGCCTGGGCACCTAGGCAGAAGGCAGCTCCTGTCAGTCCAGTGGCTTCTGGAGTGAATGGGGTTACCATGTGTCAGGAAACCCTTCTTCCTACTTTACTCTCGTCCTTCCAGGCCTCTGGGCAGGCAGCTGGCCTAGCTCAGCCTACTCTCCAAGGCCTACAAGTTCGTTCTCAGCCTCCCCCCCAGGGCAGGACTCCCGTCAGACCTGACAAGGCAAGGCTCCTACTGCTGCCACCAGCTGAGGTCACCATGCTGGTGAGGGTGAGCCCACCTGCCCACTGCCCATGGGAAAACCGTGAAGGGGCCAGAGGGGACCTCCTGGGTGTTCCTCCTCTCCAACAGCATCAAGACAGAGTCCTGGGGCCGGCAGAGAGGAGCACAGAACAGTGTGGCCACTGATAATTCAGCAGGATGCCTCCTAGATGGGGCCTGCTCTGTCCAAGCAAGACAACCATGAAGTGAACTTCTCTGTAAGCAGAAAGAACACCCCATCTTCTCCCTCAATTGCCGCTGCTGTGTGCCTGGGCTAGGAGCTTTGGTGGGACAGGAACAGTTAAGAAGGGCCTGTGAGGCTGGAAAGGGCAAACCCTCCATGGGCTTGGAACATTTCTGCCCTTAATACCCTGGGGCTGGGCTCCCTGGTCCCTGGGACTAGCTGGGGGAGCTGGGGAGGTGAGGAGGACGAGACTCAGTGCGCTCCACTGGCCGTCCTGCCATGGGGGTTGGGGAGTCTGAGGACAGGTCACCCACACTACTGCTCTATGACACACCTAGCAGCAGGTGCCTCCTGTCCTGGCCTTAAGGAGAGGCAGCTGGTGGCTGTACCATGCCCTGGCCTTAGCTGGCCCTGCAGAGTGGACCAGATGGAAGCCTACCTCTGCCTTCCATAGGAAGGTCTGCTTTGGGGCTGTACTCCCACTGTCACAACTCTTGGTATGGCCACACCACGTACCAGAAACCCCATCCTAGTTTTCTGGGAAAAAGGCACTGGCATGTGCTCAGCACATTCTCTCTACCTTCCTTCCTCCTCTCCTCCAGACCTGTTCTGAGAAGACAGGGCCTCCACCATCAGCAGGCAGGGATGAGGTGCCATGTCTCTGTGCACCCAGAGCTGCCTACACTCTGGTTTAGCTTTTCACACCTCTCACAAGAGCCACAGTGAACTGAGGTGAGCTGAGTCCCCACCACAGGTTATGCTGTTCTCCCCGAGGCTGTCCACACGGCCTCCCCCATGGAGATGGGGCTTCCTGCAAACATCTTACGGCTGAGTTAAAGAAACACCACCTACAAATCAGAACTGGAGCCACTACCCCTTTGATGTAGTAGAAAGAGAAGGTTTAAACAAAGTTTTCCAACCAAGGTCTTTTTGAAGAAAAGTGGGAAACGTTTGGACTCAAATTGCAGAAGTGAGGCATTTGCTGGTCCATGGAAGGGAAGCAAAAGCAAAGTGACTACAAAAGTGTCTTATCACAGGTCAGCGAACACAGGAGAACACACCAGAGATTCTTAGCCTTATGGGAAAATGAGCCACTCACTCATAAGCCAGCCCACTTGCTATTGTTTGTAGAAAATGCCAAGTTGCTAAAAGCCAGATTCCCAGAGCATGGAGGCCTGTGATGTGTGTGTGTGACGTGGGCTGATGGGCTCCTGAGCGCACAGCCTGAGGGACGGGCTGTGCAAGGGGAGAGGAGCCGGGAAGGGTACAGGTGCGAGTCAAGCCATGCTGGTGCTGGGGCTGCCTTCGAAGGCAGCTCCAAGGACTGGCTCCCTCAGCAGACAGGGCTGCATGTCTTGCAGGGGTCAATGCACTTTCACTAAAGCCTGGGTGCCTGTGAACACTGGAGAATGTGCTGGGGATACTGCAGGGGGCTCGAAGGCCCTCCCTGGCCCCCAAGAACAGCCCTAAATATCCTTTACCCCGGAAACCTGCACAGGGCCTGAATTTGTGTACCTGCTCACATTGCTGTCTCCCGAGGGCACCTTTAAGAAGTTGCCCTTTTGTCATGACATCTCTTCACTCACCGGAATCAACCAAGCTCATGACTCAGGGAGGGGGGAGCCATGAAGATAAGATGGCTGCAGCCCCTGAAGGGACAGAGCATGCAGCAGGCACTCCGTACCCTGGAGAAGGAAATGGATCTGCCTTTCAGCCAACAGATCCACCAAATTTCTACCCCATGTGGATGGCCTCTAACAAACACTCAAGTCGTTCCCTGGCACCTTGAGTCTAGACCTAGGCTTACCCTCTAGGGGGCCCACCAGTGCCTCCATGTGGGATTAAGGCCAAACGGTTCTGGTGTTACTACCGAAGGAGAATCCCCTGAACCTTCCCCGGAGAGGGAGACCTGGGAAAGAAGGCACAGAATAAACTGAGTGAAAGACTGGGGCCGACTCCCAGAGTAAACCTGAGCAAGGCCAAGCAGAGCCCAGGCATGGCCCAATGGACCTGGCCCCAGCCCCGAGCTCCCCCTCCCCCTCCCCACCTGGCGGTGGCGGAGGGGGGCTCCAGTGTGGGCTTAGCCCTGCCGGGAATAACTGCCCAACATCCCACAAGGAACAAGGCAGAAAAAAGAAAACCAAAAAGCTGCTCTGTGGGCTACAGTAGTTCTGTGGAACCGCTGGCTGATGTGTTTGACAGCTGATGAGAGGCTGACATGTCCTTCTGTGGGGCACGGCCAGGCCAGCCTTCACGGAGCCAGACAGCTCTTCCCTGGGACCTGAAACCTCTCCGGAAGGGGCTGGGGTCCCCCTACAAGTGTCCCATAGGGCCCAGAGAGAAGCACCCCCGCCCTGGACCAGGGCCCCGGGCCCTCAGTTGTTCTCTATCTGCTCAATGTCCAACTCGCCATCCAGAGAGCAGAGGCCGTTCCCAGGGGCCCCGCAGCCCCTCCAGGGTGGGGCCAGCTCCCCCTTTCTGCCACAATCCTCGTCCAGGGTGTAGCCGTCTGACTCCTCACAGGACAGGTCCTCCTGGCAGGTGAGGCGGTCATCAAAGGAGGGGGGAAAAGGCTCAGGGACTGGGGTCCCAGCAGGGGTCCTGCCCCCAGGGCTGGAGGCTGAAAGCAAGCTGGCCCAGGACCGGGTGCTGCTGGCGTGGACAGCGAAGGAGCTCTGGGGGCTGTAGTCCTCCATCCCCATGCTCAGGCAGCTGAGGCTGCTGAAGGTCTGACAGTTCTGTGGAAGGGCAGACACAGGTTACTCAAAGGGCCGTGTTCCCTCCTGAAACCACAGGACCATGCACCCCACAAAGCCAAGCCAAAGCCTTGCTGGTAGTTGGTCTGCCAGACTGCACTCATAAAGAAACACTGCTGGCCAGTGAACACTCTGTGCTAGTAAAGAAATGCAAACTTCAGCTATTCACCTACTTAACTGTCAAAGAGCAAGAAGGTAAATACCGAGCTTGGGGAGCTGCAGTGAAAGAGACCCACAACACCTCCTGTATGCCTCTCAGAAAGATAACTTCCCAGGTAGCAATTCCACTACAGTATGCCTCTGTATTTGGGACAGGTTCTGGCTCTCCTCATTGCCCAGGTCCTTTATGTAAAATGATGTAGTCTTTGCATACAACCCATGCATATTCTCACATACTTCAAATCATCTCTGGGTTATTTAGAATACCTATGACAATGTAAATGCTATGTAAATGGTTGTTATACTATATTATTTAGGGATCAGTGACAAGAAAAGGAAGTTTACACATGTTCAGCACTGATGCTTTTTTTTTTTTTGGTACCGAGGATCAAACTCAGGTCCTTATGCTTGCAAGGCAAGCCGCGGAACCACTGAGGTAAATCCCCAGCCCACTGATGCTTTTTTTTCTGAAAGTTTTCAATCCAAGATTGGCTGAATTTAAGGATAGAGAACCCATGCAAGTCCATCCAAATGTACTAGGATTTTTATTTTAAGAGGACAATTTAAGATATGTGCAAAAATTCAGCAACATGAATACGGGGTGGGGGGGCTTGCACATGTTACACACATGCTGTACCACTGAGCTATACCCATAAAGCTTACATGAATATTCCTAGTCACTGTCAGTCATTCTTAAAACAAAGAGAGTAACTCAAGTCCCCTGCAAGAACGGTTAAATACAGTATGTATTTTTAGGCATGGTCTATACAGCCATTACACAAAATAGGGCAGCAGTGAACTCACTGACACAAAGCAGTGCCCCTGTGAGAAGGGGCCTGAGTTAAATGGAAACATCCCCAGGCCGTACTGCTGTACATGGGGCCACAGTGCCTACCCCACCCACTTCCCGTGACTGGCCAGGGTGAGACAGAGGCTAGGTTTGTGTGTGTGTTCCAGTGTTCGCTGATATCCCAGGCCTGGTGCATATCAGAACTATCCAGGGAGCCAGTTCTCTGTGAGTTCTGGGCCTTGTCTGGAGATGGAGATGCCGAATCTCTACAGGGCTGTGGCCTGGGCCTTCCACAGACACTGCGTGGTGGGGGGATCCCCACTGACACACCAGAGGAGCGCCAGGCTCCAGGCTGCTTCTGGTGCTTGCCAGCTGGGGACCTTGGAGGCCTCCTCTGAAAGAGGCCCAGGATTGGAGGTCCCAAAGAGAGAGCATGGCTGTGTGAGAGCTTCCCTGGCTTGCCAGCACTGCACTGTGTGGGGTGGCCTAAAGCCCACCAGAGCAGCAGCTGTGGCTTGAACATAGCTCCAAGGCCGTGCAGGCCAGTCCTGCTTGGAGCCATCCACCAAAAAGACTGCAGGCCTGACCGAGTGCACAGGTGGGTGCGGATACATAACAGCTTTCAAGGCAGACAAATTTGGGCCCTCTTCTCCCCAGAGACAAGATGCTTGGCGCAGCAGCAGACAAGACAAAGGCTGTGGCAGTGGGGGAGCTCATGGCCCAGGCCCAGCCCCAGACATCAGACAAGGAAGAGCTGTACACAGAGGCAATGGAGAGGAACTACAGAAGGGAGAGGAACTACAAACTTTGGTTTCTCTGCAGCCAGAGACTCGGAGCACCTGCCGTCTCTCGTGCTACATGCCTGCCAATGCTGTGATCACAGACCTGTCCCAAGGGCCCTGATCCTTTCAAAGGCTGTAGTGTGCGTGGTGCTTTGAAATAAAGATGGCCACTGGCTGTCACAGCAAATGGGCTGCTGGAATAGGCTCAGCAGATAGAGGCTTCCTCTGGAGGAAGGTGGCTGCACCTGCCAGGGTCACACTCATTGTTCCTAAACACTCCAGAGAGGGAACTCTTCCAATGGGTTTGCTGCTCTTGGGACTGCATGAGAAAGGGGAAGGTTGTGGTGCTGAGGGACTCAGCACTAGGATCTAATTTGACCAGAGATGCTGGCTCAGGCCATAGAGGGCCCCAGAGCCAGCTGCAGGCCCCACCCTGGCCTGTTCTGGGATTTGATGCAACCCCTGTGTACACAGAGCACATTCCTTCCCCTACCATAGCAACACTCCCAGGTCAGGCTTGGGCGGAGGATCAGCATTTTCCAAAGGCAAACCTGACACCTGGCAAGGCAGAGACCCCGGAAGCCTGGGAAGGAAGGGTCTCTATGGCCTCTTCTGTCTCTCAGCCAGTCTCTTGAGCAGCCTATGCAGGTCAGAGGGAAGAGGCAAGAGGGCCCAGCCTGGGAAGCATCAAGCTGCATATCCCTGGGCCAGGCTGCCCTGGATGAAGAGTCAGGACTCACAAGCCCAAGGAGTCAGACCTGCCCTTTCCTATCATCCCTGGCTGAGCTGTCTGTTCTCTGCTTGCACAGGTGTGTAAGGATAAATACTGAGCCCAAGTGTCTTGAGTAACACACTCTGACTAGCTCCTGGGTGGTGCAAGGCACTGCTGCCAAGAGTACTTAGGTATAGCCATGTCTGTTTAGTGCCCTTGTTCTCTGTGAGACAGGAAGAGGAAAGGGGAGCGAGGGTCAACCCTGAACAGAAAGCACCCTGTGCTCAGTGCTTGAGGCTATGCTCACTTTCTCATTCCTGCTGGAGTCATCTGTCCTGCCTGATCTTGTCTGGAAAATGACCTAAGGTGCAGTGGGTAGGTCCTGACTTTATGGCCAATGTGATGGCATTGGAGGTCTGAATACGTGGGTCCCCTCAAATTCCTATGTTGATGCTCAATCCTCAATGCCATCAGTGTTATTAAGAGGTGGGCCTTTGGGAGGTGATTAGCTCATGAGGGTGGAGCCCTCATGAATTGGATTGGTGCCCTGATAAAAGGCCCGGGGGAGCTCATGTGCCCCTTCACCCTGTGAGGCAGCAAGAAGGCATCATCTGTGAAGAGCAGGCCCTCACCAGGCATGGAACCTGCTGCAGATTTCCTGGCCCTTAGAGCTAAAGAAGTAAATTCTATTGTTCCTAACTTACCCACTCTACTGCCCAGACCATTGGCTACAGCCTGCAGCAGGGTGCTGAGGACCCCTTTTCCTTGGTGAGACAGGTTGTTACATTTGTAGCCTCAGCCCCCGTGCCGGACGGGACCATGGCTTCAGAAAAAAGAGTCCCTCACCTCTGGACTCAGGACTGTGTGTCAGATAAGGATGGCCAAGAGCACCCCAAAGCCACCTTTGCCCCAGCTGTCTGGAATAACTGAGTCCTTTTTGCTTCATAGCAAGGCAAGAAGCTACAAGGTTTAGGTGGTGAATTTTGTCACAAGCAAATCACAGGATGCCACTAGACAGCCCCCCCCCCATCCAGCCCTCAAAGGCACCTGTTTCTTGGCTGTGAATCCAGGTGTCACCTTGAAAACTCTGTTGACTCAAAACTCAGCTATTTCAGCCACAGTTAACACCAAGAGCCACCACTGAATGCCCCAGCTGGTGGCACATCCCACCTGCCAGGGAGGAATGTGGCTGCCACAATGGGGCAGTTGTAGCTCTGGTCAGAACTCCCAGCCGGGTGAGCCTACTCTGCACAGACGCCCCGAGCGCACTCATGCCCAGGCCCTGCAGCTGCTTGGGCCCACCACACCCTCAGGCAGAGCCCTGCCCAGCCTCTCCTAGCTCCTCAGACTGTTCCCACAAAGAGCACTGCATGGGCCTGTTCGAGGCCTGGAGGCCTGTGTGCCCTCAAAAATGTCTGGGGAAAGCAAAGAAGCGAAGTTCAAAGCGTCACAGGAATACATCATTCCAAGGTGAAACTGCTACTCCAGGACAAACTGTCCCGTTTGCCAACTTCTGTTCAGCCCAGGGATGGGCTGCCTACTCAGGCAGAGGCCTGCCCAGGTAACAAAGCTCAGCTGGAATTGTCCATGTGGCCTCAGGCTAGTGGGCAGAAGAAGTGACCCCAGTCCTAGAGTCTGTAAGAGGCAGTCAACAGCAGCCTGTTGTAGGGGTGTCTTAAGAATGAAGCCCCTGTATGTCAAGGTTTTCCCACCAGACGTCCTCTGCTCCAGTCAGCCACAGCAGAGGCCACAGCCACCCCAACAGGCTGCCCCACAGCTTCCCAGCCAGAAGCAATGGTCCCGCTTCTTCAGAGCCTTTCTATGCAGGTATCTACTTCAATACCTTCCTGGGTGGGAGGGCCTGGGTGGGCCATGGGCACAGAGACAAAGGTAGCCTGGTCTTTGCTTTCCAGGCAAAAGCTGAAAGCCGAATCCCCCCGCCCCAAACATATTAAGTCAACAGACACTCATCCCCCTTTTGCTGCCCATGCAGGGCCACAGCCCTGCTCGGCCTCCAGCAAGATCCCCACAGCTACTAAACAGAATGGATCATCATTCTGATCAGCCCAGGGGTGAGGCCTGTGTGGGGCAGGGGAAACGCAGGGCTCGCCCAAGGACAGGCCAGCAGTGATGTGTCGGAGAGCAGAGGATGCAACTCCCCTGGGTCCTGCGTTCTCCTATCAGAGTTCTCATTCGCTGAACCCACAGCCTTGAGAACCAGGTGAGGAAAGTGGATTCTGGAGTCCGAGGGACTGGCTCCTCCACTGACCTAGGGGCCTCATTTCCTGTTTCCTGGAGAAACAGGAACTATTGTTTACTGGGCTGCTTAAGGAATAAGGAATATTAAGGAATGCTTAAGGATACGGGGTACTAGTGGTGCCCCAGACAGATCAGTCCCGTAGCTCCCAGAAAACCCCACTCTGTTGGCTGCTGACAGCTCACAGCTGCCCCGTCCAGAACTGCTCTGGGCTGGAAAGCCTAAGTCATGCTTCACTCTGGGCTGGATCAGGCCCCAGGTGCCAGCTACACTACCCAGGCA